CTCCTCTTCCTCTTCCTCTTCCTCTTCCTCTTCTTCTTCCTCCTCTTCATCTGCCTCTTCCTCCTCCTCCTCTCCTCCTGTTCCTCCTGACCCTCCTCCTCCTCTTCGTCCACTGTCTCTTCTTTCTTCCCCTCTCTTTCTTCTCCTCGTCCTCCATGTTGTGAATGACAAATTAACTCGATATGCGCGAGAAAGGGCTTGAGACTAGACCAATATTCTAAAGTCTGTCGTAAAAGTCGTGTTCAGATCTTCGTCCAGTATGTAGCAGATTCCAGCTGCTTTTTTTATATATATATTTTTTCTGTGAGTTTGTGCCGGGTTGGTTGTGGACTTGGATGATGGATTCGAATTTCAGAATCCTCTGAGGAAATCTGCATGTATGTGGTCAGTTGGCAATATTTTAAAGCGCTCATCCAGGAATAAGAGGGCCAAGGAAAGCAAAATTTGTTTGACGCAGAGGTGTTTTTTGTTTTTTTGTTTTTTTTGCACTCTGCGCGGAGAACAAAGCCATAATGACTGCGGTGAATAAGGTGGCTTTTTTTTATGACTGCTGTGTTTTTCAGGTGATTCTTGTTTCTGCGACTCTTCCGCATGAAATTTTGGAGATGACGAACAAGTTTATGACAGATCCTGTTCGGATTCTTGTCAAGCGTGATGAATTGACTTTGGAGGTGAGATCTTTTGCTCTCATTATTTCATTTCCAAAGCACAGTGTCCAATCCCTTTGGTAAATAGTAAATAGTAAATAGTAAATCCTTTGGTAAATAGTAAATAGTAAATAGTAAATAGTAAATCCTTTGGTAAATAGTAAATAGTAAATAGTAAATACCTTTGGGTTTTTGCCTGCCACATTGTGCTGTCTGTCTTGGGACTCTTGGCTCACCACCATGTCCATGGTAAATAGTAAATAGTAAATACCTTGAGGTTATTATCTATCTGTAGTGTGCCTTTCTTTCATTTTTTTGGAAACAGGGATTTAAATTTTAAAGTGCAACGCACGCCTAAGTCGTCTGTGTTTTTTTGAAAGGGCATCATTCTCTTCGGAAATCTTTAACAGAATCTGAAAATGGCCATTGTTGAATGATTGTTTTTTTTTTTTAAATTTGAATATGATATGATATGGATCCTGTGTGTTATGTTTGGGGCAATGTAGTTTGTAGTACTACATATACTGCTATTCCCACTAGTTTGACTGTTAGCAATATTAGGTAGTAGTAGCTCTGGTTGTCCGTTGCAGAGGGATTGGAGGAGTAGCAATAGTAGCAATGGTAGGAATAGTAGCGATGGTAGTGACACTATAATGTGAATGACATTCTGAAAGCTTGTTTCTCTGGCTACTGCAGTGTGTGGCGAAGATGGGAAAAATTATAAAATAGGTTTTGTGGGGACAAGGACTGGCAGGGTTTTCTCTCTTTTTTTAAGTCCTGAATTGCGATTGAGAGGCAGTCGACCAACGACAGAGGGGGGGGGAGTGTTTGTTTCTCTCTCCTTGTCTTCTTCTGCTGTTTCTCTCCTTGTCTTCTTTTGCTGGGACGATTACATTACGTTTCTTTTTTGTTTGAGAGCTTTGTATGCTCTTCAGTTATACCTTGTGGTTGACTTCAATTCGTGCCGTGGCCACTGTACTCTTTTCCAGAGAATGCTGGAGGAGTCGTCGCAAAGAGGAGTCGTGGTGTCAGACCTCTAAGCTTTGTTTGGGTGGAACAATGACAGATCATCATATGTGTCTGCGAGTGAAGAAGAGAGACACTTTTTTTTCCAGCTACGTCGTCGTTCTTATGACACACACCGTAAGTTGGTGCGAGTACTTTCCTGTCTGATGACCTGTAGGGCGGCCGGAGAGGGGGGGGAAATCTAGCTTTTTGAGAAGAATACCGTCTTCACCCGAGTAGCACGCCCGGTCATTACAGCTGCATTTGGCCCAACTTTCACTCCAGATGTGGCAATAATGACCGGGCGTTCTGTTCGGGTGAAGACGGTAGTCAGTGCCACAAAATATTGTCTGAGAAATTGTGCTGTGAAAAGTGCAAAAGTGCAAATCTCACAATTCTGTGTTTTTTTCCGCGCGTGCTTGGTCGTGTGTTCAGGGCATCAAGCAATTCTTCGTTGCGGTCGAAAGGGAGGAATGGAAGTTTGACACACTTTGCGACTTGTACGATACGCTGACAATCACACAGGCTGTCATTTTCTGTAACACGAAGAGGAAGGTCAGTATATCTAATCTGCGTGTGTTGTTGTGGACGGGGGCAAAAAAACATTTCGTGGTCAGGAGTTGGGAGGAACTTGGGACTAGCTTTTCCCCCCGAGAATACAATGTACGGTCATTATAGCTGTGTTTGGGGTATCCTTCAGTCTAAATACGGCTATAATGATGACCGTATGTTGTAGGGGAAGAAGGTAGTCATTCTTCTGTTGACAAAAAAATCGGTCGGGATCTGCTTAGATGTCGTGCAAGGAGTGTACTCTCTAGTTTTGTTTGCACGGAATGTTTGTTGAGCTGTCAGGTGAGCTCTCAATATCTGTCCTCCGCCCCCTTTTTAACCCCCCCTTTTTAACCATTCTGGTGATTGCATGCAGACTTCTGTGGGGGGGATATCCTGTTATAGGGGCAGGAAAACATTTGGACCATTTCTCGATTTATGCGAGGCATCCTTGCGCCCACCACAGGGGCCATCGTAATGTTCTCTGTGTCTTTTCAATTCTCACAGATGTCCCGGAGGACAATCTAGTCGTGTTTGTTGCGTTAGGTTTTCTTTCCAAAGCAGATGGGTACAGGAATGTTCCCAGGTTCAAGGGAAAGGGGAAGTAATAATGCTGATACACCTTCCGGATGGAGGACTGGAACACGCCTACATCTCTGGACTGCTTTCTGCCTTTTGTTTTTGGGAAAATTTTTGATATGCCCCTGAAAGTTCAATTAATTTGCACCGTGCCCCTCTGACGGCCGACTTACCCTGCTGTGCCCCTGGGGCCTCTGAACTTTCCTGCAGGCCCCTCTCTGTGAGGGTAGCAACTTTCCAGCAGGCCCCTGTGGCCGTTGGTGGCACACGCGATCTTTCCCCCGGCTCTCGGAGGGGAGCTACTGGGGCATACTAGAAATTTGGAACCGGTACAGGTAGGGGTATATTGAACATATATCAGGCCCAAACGATACCAGGGTTTTTTCAGAAATTTGGGCGCTGCAGGGTAAGTCGGCCGTTAGAGGGGCACACTGCAAATAAATCGAACCTCGAGGGGCATATAAAAAATTTTCCCTTTTTTTTTTTAAACTCTGGCTTGAGGAAGGGTTTCTTCACATGTGGCCATTGGATCAGCTCCCTGGACTGCTTTCTGCCTTTTTTTTTTCACTCTGGTTGGACGTTCAAATGTGCTTGGTTGCTTGCACAGGCTCGAAGGTGCTCTCACACGGTATCTAGGGCTTGGATGTACTGCACTCTGCCTTTTTACTCTGGCTTCAATGTGTCAACAGGGACCTGGTTCAATTGTGGGCCAGGTGCATGCTAGAGTATCAGTTAGAAGTTATTTTCTTTTTAGTTTTTTGATGTTTTGTTCATTACGGTGTTTTTTATTTTATTTTATTTTTTATTTACTTGGTTGGAAGGTGAAATCCTGCCCAAGGTGTGTTTGGTTGCTTGCATGGCATCTAGGGGGCTCGGCTGTATTGCACTCTGCCTCTTCGCACTGGCTTCGATGTGTCAACAGGGACCTGGTCTAATTGCGGGCCTGGTGCATGCTAAAGTGTTTGTGACGACTAAATTTCCTAGTTAGCTTTGGTGTTTCATTACGGCCTAGGCTACCGGAGTGACCCTGGTCCACTTGCCCGGCCGGGCCAAAAAGATATAAAAAAAATAAAAAAAGTAAAATATACCAGCCGGGCCGCCCGGGTCCCGGGTGGCCAGCCCGTGCAAGGAGGTCCCAGCCAAAAAAAAAAAAAAAAATTCCAAAAAATCCGAAAAAAAACTATGTTATGCAGAAAAATAAACTGAACAACTTTTGACTCAGGGTCACATCGAAATTCTTCACCAAAATTAAAATAAAAATTAAAAATTAAAAATATATATTTTTTATTTTTATTTTTTTGGCCCGGCCGGGCAAGTGACCCCGGGCCACTCTGGTAGCCTAGTTTTTATTTAAAATTTTATTTTAAATTTGGTAAAGAATTTCGATGTGACCCTGAGGCAAAAGTTGCTCAGTTTATTTTTTTTGCATAACATAGTTTTTTTGTCGTTTTTTTTTTTTTTTTTTTTTTTTTGGCTGGGACCTCGGATTTTTTTTTTTTTTTTTTTGGGCTGGGACCTCCCCTGGTCCTTGCACGGCCGGGCCGGCCTGGAAAATATGGTGACCCGGGCGGCCCGGCTGGTAGCCTAAATTACGGCCTTTTTTTAATTTACAGGTTGGAAGTTCAAATCCTGCTCAAAAGTCTTTGGTTGGTTGCTTGCATGGCATCTAAGGGGCCCGGCTGTACTGCACTCTGCCTCTTCACTCTGGCTTTTCTAGGTCAACAGGCACCTGGTCCAATTGCGGGCCTGGTGCATGCTAGAGTGTTTGTGACGACCAAATTTCCTAGTTAGCTTTGGTGTGCCGGTACGACCTTTTTTTGGCGTTCTACTTCCTTTGCGTGGGGGCGGGGGGGGGGCGGCGAGACTTGTGCACAGACTGGAATTGGTAAATTGGTAGTGTTTTCACTTTCTCAGGGGCAGGGGAACAAAGTGCAGGCGAGTTTTCGGTGGGGATTTGTGATGCATGGAGTCCATTTTTTGAAGCGGCAGTTGTGGGAAAATGGGGAATCTTGTTTGCGGTGTGGTGCTGATGGGGATGTGTTCTCTGCAATTTTGATGAAGTGCAGGTCGACTGGTTGACAGAGAAGATGCGAAGCAACAACTTTACAGTGTCCTCTATGCATGGAGATATGCCACAGAAGGAAAGGGAGGCAATCATGGCAGAGTTCAGAGGGGGGACCACAAGAGTCCTCATCACGACAGACGTTTGGGCCCGTGGGCTCGATGTTCAGCAGGTATTTTGTCGTCGTTACCCCCGGACGGAACCTTGGGAATGCGAAGATTGATTGGTCTTGTGGCTGAATCGTAATGCAGGATATATAAGGCAAACAGAACTGCCCGGTAAACTGTAGGCAGAGAGGGAGAAGAGGACAACAAACGAGGGGCTATATATATATATTATATATGCTGGTAGTTGGCGGGGGCGGTGCTTGCATGTGGGACTTGTCATCTAGGATTGTCATTTAGGATTTGTTTTAATCTTGTCTGCTTCAAATTTGTTATTGGGCWTCCTGGTTGGTTGTTTCCYGTTGTTCGGCCTTTTGAGCGCGGGGCGGTGCTTGTATGTGGKAATCGTCATCTGGGATTGTCTTCTTTTTAGTTGTCACACTGTGATCAAGGGCGCAGGAGCCTTTCTTTATTTTCTTTGTAGATAAGAATGTTTTGATATCCTGGTTGGTCTCGTCCCGTCGTTTGGCCTGTGAGTTGCGGGGTGGTGCTTGCATGTGGGACGTGTCATCTGGGATTTGTTTTGTTGCCCCCTGTTCTGTATTATTTGGCTGTTCCCTTCCTCTTTTCTTTGCCTCTTTGCCTTCTGGCTGTGTGCAAGTGGGTCGATATGACACACGGGGGTGGGGGCAGCCGCCGCTCAACCTACATCCACGTGGGCGGCCTTGTACGCAAGAGGTTCTGAACAGGGGGAGTTATAAAAGATAAAAAAATGAAATTAATATTCCCTGGTTTTCCTTTCTCCTTTTTTCTCTTTTTTTCGCATTTACGCTCTGAATTCTTGTGACAATATATATATGACGATATATATATATATATATCACAGCCCCTAGTTTGTTGTCCTCTTCTCCCTCTCTGCCTACGGTTTACCGGGCAGTTCTATTTGACGATATATATATATCGTCAAATATATATATATATATATATATATGCTGATAACATATGTATTGATTGTAAAGAGATTGCGAGTTCGAATCCTGATGGATATAGATAGTAGATACGATAACATCAGGAGCTATCCCCCACTTTTTCGTTGTTTGTTAAGGATATTCGTACATGCGCCTTTTGTGTAACAGCTTGGTTGTCGAGGCCTGAGGTCCCTTTGTTGGGGTGTGTTCATGCTAAGTTAGCCTGAATCTAGCCAGTTTTGTGACCAGATTTGTGCTTCCTGCGTACAGATATAGTGCGACTGGGTTTTGGCTCTATGGGTGTACTCTCCACCTTTTTTGACTGACTCTGGCTCCAATTGCAGTCACAATCATCTAGGAAAGTCCTAGTGTGGCTTTGCCCTAACTTTCTAGGTTGCCTTGGTTTTGAAATGTCCATATGAGCATACGGAGTTCCTGCGGCTTTTTGCCTGCCTGCCTCAACAACCTACTTGCAATGCACATCCAAAGGGATTGGAAAAATAAGCAAAATAAAACAATATACCATCTCTAGATTCTCTACCTTTGTAAGTTTGTACTATTCTAGATGCAATAGATAATAAGTTGATCCAAAGAAAAACAAGAAAGGTGACGCGTATCCACTTTTCTCTGAGTTACAGGTACTGCGAAGTAAAAGCTGCAAAGGTTCAAACTGCGAATGTCAACTTGCGGAAATGCAAACTTGCACTACTTTTCTAGCGCATAGAATTTAAAATTTAAACTGTGGTTCTGAAATTGATACAAGTTTTTCTTCTCCTGCTTGTCTTCTTATTAGGTATCTCTTGTCATCAATTATGATCTTCCGAACAATCGAGAACTGTACATCCATCGGATTGGTCGTTCAGGGCGTTTTGGGCGAAAGGTACAGTATATGCATACCTTTGCCTGGATGCACTGGTAGTTACGCAGTACCCAGTCCCCCCTGCCCCCCCTCCCTCTGCGCCCCCTCCCACTTTCTGTTCCCCTTTCTTCAACAAGCGATTCCTTGCTAAGAGCAGAAATGGAAATGGCAGTGAAAAGGAAAAGGAAAGGAGACGTGCAAGAGACACCACCATTCCAGTGGGAGGTCCTTTATCTGTTGTGATGTGGGGGTATATATGCATTGCTTTGAAATTTGAAGGGGTTGGGTTATATTGGGGTAACGCAGCTGCGATCTTTGTTGGAGGTGGCGACAGTCATCTTTAGAAATTTTGTTCTGTGGGATGGATGTACATGGGCGTTGATCTTTATAATTTCCGCTCGTAAAATAAGAGCCCATGTTAGCGGGACCTTAACGGTGATAAGCTAAGAAGAGTATCGGAAGTGATATAGTGTGGCATTTCCACCTTACCTCTTCCCCCACCCTCCTCCCCTTTCCCCCCCCTGCCCCCCTCTGCCTCATGCTCCTTCTGAAGGGGTTTGGCCGGTGAGCAGGCTTGCAGTGGCCATGTAAATATATATATCGTTGTAGCGAACTCCCTGGTTGGCTGTAGGCAAAAAAAAAAAAAAAAAAAAAAAGAGAAAGGGAGAAATGGACAGGTGGCGGCTGTAACAGAGAGCTTTTCATTGGAGTTTCTTCTCCGACTCGTCAGGCGGCTGAACCTTTGTCAGTCTGCAGAGTCCCCTAACTAATGAAGTATGTAAGTCCTAATCCGCCTAAGCCGCGGTCGTCACACGTTGGTTCGGAGTCTTCGGACCTTTTTCCAACGAGTGGAATTTGCATTTGGCCGGTTCTGATATTGTTGCGCCTGTCGTGGTCGGCGGATTGTGCTTGTTTTGCTGCAGGGTGTGGCGATCAATTTTGTGCGCAGCGATGACATTAGGATCTTACGAGATATAGAACAATACTACAGTACGCAGATTGACGAAATGCCGATGAACGTCGCCGATTTGATTTAAAATAGAAAGAGTTGCGACACTTTTCAATTTCAAGGTGGGGCAGGAGAGAAAGAATTGTTGTGTTTGGTTGGTGTGTGTGTGCATCGAAAGCGAAAGCGTCTGGTACACAAAGAAGAGAGGATGTGCGCATGCGAATGTCTACTCGGTTATGTATTGTTACCTCCTCCTGTATTGTATGCTGTGGTGCGAATCTGTGTAGCGTCGCTTGTAGTTTTTTTTTTTTTTTTTCTCTTCCATGTTATCTGTCGATTATTGTGTGATGTCTGCGGGGATCGCCTCGGATGCATGCATGAGGGGGGTGTATGTGTGTTTGAGTGAGTTTTGTGATAGTAAATTGTACCTACCATTGTTGTCTGAACGTGGGCGGCGTATGATGAGATGGCAGATGACGGAGGACTACGGTGATGGTGACGACACGCCAAGGAGTGTTGTTGAGAGTTGGTTTCGTGAAGTCTGTCAATGACAGTTTTGTCTTCTTCTGTTCCCTGGTCAGTCTCCAATCTCCCTTCCCTCAAGTGAACAGTGTGGGTAACGACAGAGCTGAAGGCGAGGTCGTGGAAGTTCTTGCAGGCAGTTTGCTGTTTTGACAGCAGCAAATGGGTACGGTGGTGGGGTATTGTTTTTTTTTTTTTTTTGGTGGTGGTGGTGGTGGTGGTGGGTGTATTGTTGTGACATTGTTGCCTTCAACAATAATTTCTGCTTAGTGTATGCACACTGTGCTTGGTGTACAAATAACTGTTCTCAATTATTGTTGCCTTCAACAATAATTTCTGCTTAGTGTTTTAGAAACTTTGTTCATCTGTTTTTGGTCACACTGGATGTACCAACTGTGTTCACAATGTGTCCTCCTCTTTTTTTTTTTTTTTTTTTTTTTTTTTTTGAGGGCAACAGGCTTGAGATATCTATCATCTTTGAACTGACTGGCCGCAGGTAAATACAGAGTTAATTTTTCACTCATGTGGAATTTGAACTCAGGCCTGTATTTCAACAGTTCATGGGTGTACCTAATGAGCTAGGCTAGTCGGTAGTGTGACTAGTGTCCTTTCTTTTTCCCCATCTTTTCAATGATAAGAAGTAGAGTATTTTTGGGACCATTTCTCGGTCGATTCATGCGCGTCATCCTTGAAAGCGCAGGGGCCATGCTAATCTTCTCTCTCTCTGTATCGTTCCAGCGAGCTTTCTGAAGGCTATAGAGGGGTGCAGGGGGGCGCTTTGCACACAGTTCAATGTACCTGCAACATGGACTCAGTATTGGCGTGTTTCAATAAGTGGCACGGGAGTGTGCAAGTGAAGCTTGAAGGTAACTTCTTTTTTTTTTTTTTTTTTTTGTTAGGATATTTAGTGGCCAAATATTCAAATGCTCGAGATGCCCGAGACAAGTTTTTTTGGGACGAGGAAGGCGGGACGGAGCAGGGAACGCTGAAAAATGGGAAAGAGGGAAAACAAAATGGGGTGGGTGAGCCAGCGGCCTAGCTCGGTTGGTTTCACATTCGGGAGGTCGTGGGTTCAGTTCCCCACAGCCGCCTGCGGCGATGCTCGGTGTTCATCGGCTGTGAGATAGTTGGCTTGCCCCGCCTGGTCGGCCTTGGCAGGGTCCTGGGTTCCAATGGAGGCCTTCACCCCCGCCATTCCTCGCTGTGGGTTACGGCTTCGGTCTGCCTTCCTTCGGAAGCGGAGACAAGTGGCCCCTGTTCTTGTGCTTAGACTTGTAGTTGGGTGGCGTGAGGTATAATTGAGAGAGAAGAATACAGAGCTTGTTTAAAAAAAAAAAAAAAAAAAAAAAAGGGTCACCGAGCGGGAAGAGCATGTTAACAACAAAAGGATGGTAGTAAATCTACAGAGAGTGAGTGATTGTGGTGTACTTGTCTGGTCGAATCTGCAAGGGATCGAACCGGGGATCTCTGGGCGACAGCCGGATGTCTTCACCACTTCAGCTGTGAGAGAGTCTCTTCAGCTGTGAGACTTTCAACAGCTTCACACTGCAAGAGGACAGGTGGGGTTGTGCACAGAAGGCCAGTGTGAAGTCACCTGCTGAAATCGGGAATGTTCAAAGGGGGGGGGCAGGGGGGGGGGGGGGGGGGGTCGGCGCACTGCGGCCAAGGGGGGGGGGGTCCTGCCGATCTGAGTCAGGATTCCGACGG